TATCTTCAACATGTTTACTGATTGAGCTTCCACTCTGGGTTAGAGAATTCCAAAGATTCAACACCCTCTGAGTGAAGAACTTCTTCAGCCCTGTGTTACATGGCCTTCCCCTCATCCTGAGATCGTGTTCCTTGGTTTTAGACTCGCCATCCAGGGGAAATATTGACATTCACTTGTCATTCTCTGTAAGAATTTTGTAAATTTCAATGAAAATTTGTTCTTCCAGTTTCAGTGCAATATAGACCCAGTCTCCTTGAAAGGAATTCCAACATTCCAAGGATTAATCTCATGCTGCACTCCTTCTTTGGCAAGTCTATCTGTCCTTGGATAAAGGGACCACAACTGTACACAACAATCCAGGTTAGGTCTCACTAAAGCTCTCCACAGCTGCCGCAACTCATCTTACTCCTTTACTCTCATCCCTTTTCAATGGAGGTCAATATATTGTTTGCCTTCCGACTTGCTGCTTACCCCTGCATGCTGGTACTCATGGGCAAAGACACCAAGCTCATCTCCATCATTGAATCCCTCCAGTGTGGAATCAGGCCATTTAGCCCAATGAGACCACACTGCCTGTCTGAAGAACATCCCACCCAGACCCACTCACCTATCCTATTCCTGTAACGCTGCATTTACCAAAGCTAATCCACTTAGCCTGCACAACCCTGGGCACTATGGGCAATTTAACATGGCCAATCCACCTAACATGCACATCTTTGGACTGTGGGAGGAAACCACAGCGCCCAGAGGAAACTCACCCAGACACTGAGAGAATGTGCAAACTCCATAGCCATCCAAGGCTGGAGTTGAACCCATGTCCCTGGCACTTTGAGGCAACAATGGTAACCACTGAGCACTGTGCTGCCCCTTTTGGATGCCTTTGCTTCCAAGTTTATCATCATTCAAAAAAAAATGTTTGGATTTCTGCTTTTTGTGCCAAAAGTGAATGACTTCACACTTACTTTGTGTTCTATCTGCTATGTCCTAGACTATTCACTTGGCTTGTCCAATTCCTTTTGAAACTTGTTTGTGTCCTCCTCTCAATTTGGTTTGCTATCATCAGCAAATTAGAAATATTACAATTGGTTCCCACATCCAAATCATTTATACAAATGATGAAGAGCTGTGGACCTAACGTTGATCTTTGTGATACCCCACTATAAACAGCCTGCCATCCTGAAAATAATTCATTTATTTCTGCTCTATACTTTCTCTCTGTTAACCAATTCTAAATCCAGACCAGCATAGTTTGATGAAGAATATGATGTTGGGGTGAGTAACTGGAGTTTACATACAGGTAAGCCATTACTTAATTAATTCAAGATGTAGAGGTGAGGGATTGAACAGGATACTCATTCTCTATTGTTCTGTTACCCTCAGACTCCCCTGTGAGGTTCTCTAATTTGTTACAGTCCAGTCATGATAGTCTCGGTGTCGTGGCTGAGGAGGAGTGAATAATATAATTTATATTATATTAATATAAATGCACCACCTTGGTTTGTTACAATAAGGTTAATTTAAAAACAGATCCCTTCCCTGTGGATACCTCTCTCCCAGACTCAAATGAAATTATGTTTTAAAAGGAGGCAATTTAACCAGACCTCCTCGAGTTAACAAAGTATGAGTTCATTAGTTGCTTGGTGTGAGAATAATTAGTAGCACAACACATACATACAGATTAAAAATAAGAGGTAAATCCAAAAAAGGTACAAGTTTAAAAAAACATATTTATGGACCAGAATTGTTCATGAATTGCAGATAGTTGAATGTTATGGCTGTTGCAGCAGAGATTCCAGGTGGGGAAACAGTTGATTTCAAGGATCTTAGTTTTGCAGGTTGGTTGAGATTCTGATTTTTTGATTCCTCTTGACCATGAATGAATTCTGCATTCAGTGTTGGAGTGAGTTCTTTTGTTATCCTCTTTACTTTTATCTGGCTTAATAGGTAGCTTACATCTAACACTCAGAGCTGGAGAGTCCCTTTATCCGAAATACCATAGTGACTAGGGGATAATTCTTTTAATTTAGCCTTCACAGCATGCTAATGCTTGAACTCGAGTTGCTACACAAGGGTACCATAGCCTGCCAGCACGTAAGAAGTTGTTCACTCTCACTAACTTGCTCTAACAGAAGAGTGGTAGTGGCTTAGTGGTAATGTTACTGGACTAGTAATGTAGAACCCTGGATTAATATGGCTATATGGGTTTGAATTCCACCATAGGTGATGAAATCTGAATTCAATGGAAATGTGTAAGGAAACAGTCTAATGGTAACCATGTAAACACTATTCATTGTCATAAAAACCTATCTGGTTCACTAATATACTTTAGGGAAGGAAATCTGCTAAACTTACCTGGTCTGGCCTACATTTAACTCCAAACCCACAGCAATACGGTTGACTGCTAGCTGCCACTTGGACAATAAAGGATGGGCAATAAATGCTGACCTAGCCAATTATACCCACATCCTGTGAATGAATTTTAAAAAGTAGAACCTAAACTGGCTTTTTAACCTTGCCCCTATGTATTCTTCAAAGGGATAAACACCAAAAATGCCGCAGTTTGGGACATAATCTACAGTTTTTGCCAGATTTTGTCAGTTGTTTCCCACACCCCATTCCCCATTATCTTTTAGTCACAAGATCTGTTTTGACTTGACTCTTTCCCCCTCCGAATTATTATTGTTTGAAGTTGCCTTCACATCACAGCTTTAGATGTGAGACTGTTGGTCTCTCCTAGACAGCCACGTAACTTTTGTTGATTGCATGAAATCTCTTTATTAAAAAAAAATTTTGGAATTGCAAGTTAAAAATGTTCTAAATATTCAGGGTTCTGATCTATGGTCATGATACTTACCCAATATGATAAATGAAACAGGATTCATTCTCATTTCGTTATGAAGAGTGAAAACAGTAAACCCACACACACATGTTTATTCTTTTAGCTGAGGTCAATGTCATCTTTCAAGTCTAACGTGGTTTCACAAATTTCCAGACAGGACATCTGCAATCACATATGATTTTTCAAACAATGTGAGTGAATTTCAGGTGATACAGTTGAAAGAATAAACTCCAATGGAATAACCTGGGTTCTGGGTCTTAAATTTTCCACAAAAATTGATGCGTTATGGTCAGAATAAACTGGTCTCTTTTGTACCCATTTTTGACCCATATGTCAAAGTGTTTGAGAATCAATAATTAGTCAAGGAGTTCCTTCTCTGTTGTGGAGTACCATGTCTGATGCTTATTTAGTTATTTTGAAGAATTACTCAGTTGGTCTCTCTATTCTGCTTGTTTTCCTGAAGGAGAAAACACCCTCCCTGATGTCATTCACAAAATGGCTACTTTAAATAATTTATTAAAGTTTGGAGCTGGAAGCACAGACCCTCTTTTTTTAAAATGGCCTTCAGCTTTTCAAAAGCACTTTGGTATTATGTCTCAGTCCATACTAACTTGTTATTGTTTTTTTTTGTATGATTCCTTCAGTGGTGCAGTCACTATACTGAAGATTGGGATGAACTTTCAGTAGAACCTACAAATTCCCAGGAATCTCATGATTTTCCACTTTGTTTTGGAATTGGGAAACTGTGTTATTACACGTCCTTAACAGGCTACTTGGGCCAACTCACTTTTTGTGAGATTGGATTCAGGATCAATTGACAATACTCTCTCGAAAAGAGCTTCCGGTTGTTCTAAGTGCATTTCCCACATGTTGCGCTACACTGAGGTCATTGAGGTACACTGTGCAATTAGAAAAGCTTACCGTTATCTCGTCATCAGTCTTTAAACAGCATGTTGGAATCCAAGTGGGACGACTCGACATATGCAAAATCCATCCAAGGATACAAAGGTAGAAATTTATTTCATCCCGTCAGTCAATGGAAGATGCTGGTATCCTTGTGAAATCTATTTTGGTAATGTAAATTGCTTCTTTTAGCCTGCCTCTGCAATCTTGCAGCTGGAGTAATGGTTGGGAGTTGGCTCTTTGCTGCGTTAACCTTTTGGTCATCAATTCATGACCCTGTGGAGCTGTCCAACTTGGGCACAAGCACATTGAGGGAAATGCGTTCCTCCTCGTGTTCTATTAATTTGTACTCCATCATACAGTTAATCACTAACATGGGCCAGCTTTTTTAGCCTCCCTGATAGGAATGTTGCCTTATGGGTCCTCTCCCATATTCACATCATGTACAGTTATGATAGTGCAACTTAGCTTGTCTCAGTTCAAGTCCTTGAATGTGGTAAGTCTTGTGCTGCATCAAGCATATTTTGATCAGGATTTTTCCACCGTTACCAACTGCTATGGGATGCTAGAAGACTTAGCAGGCTAATTACCAGCTCTGAAAGTGTGTAATCGGCTTTAAGGTGTTTTAGGCAGTCCTGCAGAAGATTAAGAAGATTCTTGTGCTGAGGAAGAGCCACCAGACCCGAAACGTTTCACTCTGATTTTTTCTTCACAGACGCTGCCAGACCTGCTGAGCTTTTCCAGCAACTTCTGTTTTTGTTCCTGAAGAAGATGAATTTGTTTATTTTTTTCTCCCACATCTTTCTTTTGTTCTTTTTTTTCTCTTTCACCCTCACATCATTCGATACTTATTGAAGAGGTGGTAGAATCTGATGATCGTTTAGTTGGCACATACTAGAAATTAGGAAGACTTGCCAACGAAATTATTAAAGTAGAAGATATCGTCAGTGTAAAATTCAACCTAGAAGAGAGAAAAAGTTAACAGAATTCGGCTGCAGGAAGATAAATAAATAAGGTAAATAAATAATAAGTGGTTCTCTGAGTGATTTTAGCAGAACTGCGCTTTGAGTTATAGTTGGGTGGGGAGTGTGTTCATGAATTTCCGGCAACTATGGGATGTGGTTTAGTGGTCTAGTGGTCGGAACACTTGAGTTCCTATCACAATATTGTTTCGGAAAAAGAAACGTATTTTAGAGGTTATTCTTTATTTTGACGCAGTTGTAGTTTTATTTTCCTTCCGGAACATCAAGGGGTTTCTTCTCGGCAGAAATAAACGTGCTCGATGTCGGCGTACGTGAAGGGGAGTGTACCCAGAAGGCCGTGCGCGTGAGAAAGTCCTCAATAAACCGACCCAGCGCGGCCATGCCGGAAGGTGGCGGGGTGCGCATGCGCAGTTGGTCGGCTACGCATGGTGGATTGTGGAGGTGAGGGACTGAGTGAATTAATGAGTAGATGAAGGGAGGCGGAGGGATTCCCTTGTCTGGTGCTGTATTTCTCCCCTACCCTGTCCGGCACAGACACAGAAACCCAGATTCATTGGGAGGGAACAAAAACATAAATTGTGGGAAAAGCTCAGCAGGTCTGGCAGCATCAGAAATCAGAGTAACTCGGAATTGTTGGTGGCTTAGAAAGTATCAGCTTTTTGTTATGCAGAAGCTGGGGTTGGGGTGGGGGATAAGGAGTAAACGATATGTGGGCATAGAGCCCAAAGAGAAGGAAGAACGGTTGGACAAAGGAGATGATATCAATCTGGCTGGGAGGGTGAACACCTTTTAAGGGAGATTGTGTGATACCAAGGCCTGGTATGTGGGGGCTGGGGTAAGGACATGGAGGAATTCATGCCCTAAAGTTGGTGAACTCTGCAGCAAGCCTGAGGTAGCTGATAAGGCTGGTGCCTTTGTCGTCTGGCATACTGACCTCTACATTGCAGAGGCTGAGCGCCAGCATTCAGGTACCTCCTCCTATCTTGCCCCGGACCATGGCACATCAGGCCATTGACTCAACTGTGGTCACTAACCTTATTTCATCTGGTGATACTCCCCACCCCCCCAAAACCGCTCCAAGCTGATAGTCTCCCAGCCCTGCTTCTTCTACTTTCTGAAAATTCACAGAGAGGACTGTCCAGGAAGACCTGTTGTGTTTACATGCTCCTGCCCCTGGTCTACTCCCTGCCCACTTACATCTGCGATTCCTCTGCCACTTTATACCAGTTTCGGAATTCCATTTTGCAGGCTCCAGCCGCCTTCTCTTTACCATGGACATGCAATCCCTTTACACACCCATCCCCCAACCAGGATGGTCTTGGGACTCTCCACTTCTTACTGCAGCAAAGGCCTGAACCATCCCCACCCACCACCACCCTCCTCCATTTGGCGGAACTTGTCCTCACCCTGAACACCTTCTCTTTTAACTCCTCTCATTTTCTTCAGGTAAGAGGGGTGGCCATGGGTGCCCACACGGGCCCCAGTTCGGCCTGTCTCTTCATGGGATACGTGGAACATTCTTTGTTCCACCCTATTCCAGATGGTATCATTGGTCCTGCTTCCCCTCTCATCTGAAATTGGGTAAGTTCATCAATTTCGCTTTCGATTTCCATCCTGCCCTCACTTTCACCTGCTCTGTCTGACTCCTCCCTTTCCTTCCTTGCCATGTCTGTTTACATTTATGGGTGATTGGCCACTAATGACCACTGCAAATCCACTGACTCCCGCAGTTACCTGGACTATATATCTTGCATCCTGCATCCTGTAAAGACTCGATTCCATTCTCCCTCTGTCTCTGTTGCATCTGTTCTGATGATGCCAACTTTGACAAGGGAGCCTCCAAAATGTTCGCTTTCTTCCTCAACCAAGGATTCCGCAAGCACCATTGTTGACAGGGCCCTTAACAGGGTCTGACCCATCTCCCACACTTCTGCCCTCACCCTCTATCTTCCCTCCCACAGCAATAGAGTTCCCTTTGTCCTTACCTACTATCCTGCCATCCAGAAGATCATCAGCTGCCATTTCCGTCCCCTCCAGCAAGATGCCACCACCAGACACATACTCCCCTCCTCTCCCCTCCTTTGTCTGCCTTCCACAGGGACTGTTCCCTCTGGGACACTATGGTCCACTCTTCCTTCACTCCCAACAATCCCCCAAAGTACCTTGCCTTGCAACCGCCAAAGGTGTAATGCCTGCCCATTTACCTCCTCCCTCCTCAGAATCTAAGGACCGAAACATACCTTCCAGGTGAAGTGGCACTTTATCTGCACTTCTCACAATCTGGTCAACTGCATTTGCTGCTCACAATATGGTCCCCTCTACACTGGGGAAACGAATCATAGACTGGGTGACTGCTCTGCAGAACATCCACATTCTGTCTGCAAAAAAGACCCTGAGCTTCCAGTTACCTGCCACTTCAACACACCATCCTGTTTCCTGGCCAACATCTCTGTCGCTGGCTTTCTGCAGTGTTCAAAGGAAGGCTCAGCGCAAGCTGGAAGAACGACACCTCATTTTCCGTTTGGGGACCCTGCAGCCCTCTGGACTCACTATCGAATTCAATAATTTTAGGGTCTGAACTCTCCCATGTCCTAGCTCCCTACCCCACATACCAGGCCTTGTTATCACACAGTCTGCTATTATACACTACCCACTAACAGTCTCCATTAACAGCTATTCACCCTCCCAGCCAGATCATTATCCACTCCTTTGTCCAACTGTCCTTCTGTCTCTTTGGGCTCTATCCCCACCTATCATTTACTCCTTACCCTTTCCCTCCACTCAATTTTCTGCATATAAACCAACATTTTCCTTGTCATCAGTTCTGAGGAAGAGTCATCGGACCTGAAATGTTAACTATGATTTCTCTTCACAGATGCTGCCAGACCTTCTGAGCTTTTCCAGTAATTTATGGTTTTGTTTCTGATTCACTCATGGATGTGGGCACTGCTGGCTGGGCCAGCATTTATTGTCCATCCCTAGGTGCCCATGAGAAGGTGGGTGCTGAGCTGCTTTCTTGAACCGCTGCAGTCCATGTGTTTTTGATTGACTTTCAATGCCATTAAGGAGGGAATTCCAGGATTTTGACCCAGCGTCAGTGAAGGAACGATGATATATTTCCAAGTAAGGATGGTGAGTGGCTTGGTGAGGACCTTAACAGAGATGATGGTTTTCCCATGTTGCCCTTGACCTTAGATGATAGTGGTCATGGGTTTTAACCTGGAACCAGAAGAAAAGTGGCAAGTTGTGAATATTTAAGGTTGCTGGTCTCTGATGCCTTTGTTATTTCCAGGCTGTCTATTCTATACGTTATTGTTAACCTTCCATTTTACTTTCAAAACACTCACCAAATCCCATTAACGGATGCCTCCCTATCTCTGTCACCTCCTGCAGCCCACAGTCTCCAAGATATCTGCACTGTAATACTTCTGGTCTTTTGTACGTCCCCCATTTCCTTCAATTGATCAATCGTAGCCCTCCATTTGACTAGGCCCATTTACCTAGTATGTTTCTTGTTCTTTCAAAACCAGCAATGAACATCTTGCTGAGTACCTAAGTTTATTCAATAGCAAACTGTATCAAACTTAGGAATTTCCTTTCAAAACTTCTCTATTCCTTTTTACTTTCAACATGTACCTGTTTGTCCAAGTCTTTACTTTCCTAGATCTTAATATTTTCCTCATTGCCTCGGTTTGTTTTTGGCTGATTGTTTTTGTTTTGAAACATCTTAGGGCATTGGAAATAGTTAAGACAGTTAACTGTGTTAATGGGAGCTATTGCATGCGTGCATCAAACCATGTAACATGCCAATAAATTACCTACTGTTTTGATATTTTTATTTAATTTTATCTAAAAATAAAATAAATTGTTGGTAATTTCTAGTATTACATCTTATAATACAGTTTTAGGCTTATCAGTTGATATAAGCACCAATTATAATCACTGTTGCTTCACTGTAATTGGGTCAAAATCCTGGAGCTCTCTTCCTAACAGAAGCATAAGTGTCCCTACACCCCACTAAATGCAGTGGTTCAAGAAGGCAGCTCATCATCAGCTTCTCAAGGTCAACTAGGGAAGGACAATAAATGTTGGCCCAGCCAGCCAAATGCATGTCCTATGTATGAATCACACAAAGATGTAACAGTCCCCAGAAAGCAGTTGCTGTTGAAGGAAGGAAGGCTGATCTGTTTTACACACGTATGGAATGTCAACGTTAGACTCTCGTCTTTTGCACTTTAACATTTGAAAAGTGGCTAAAAATAGAAAAGGCAGTTCCAAGGCTTTCCAGCAGATTCAAATGAAATTGCACAAGACTTCCCTGAGCAGTACTGCTCCCTGAAGCCCTCTTGAAATAACTGAATGCTTCAGGAAAATTGTTTGAGAAAGAGAAATGTACCATGTACCATGTACCTTGTACCTGATCAGTCATTGAACTATGTATTGAAACCCAAACAGAAATTGCTGGCAAAACCCAGCAGGCCTGGCAGCATCTGAGAAGAAAGTAGAGTTAATGTTTCAAGTCTAGTGACTCTTCAGAACTGCAGTGGCTACAATTAGAAAAGGCAGTTCCAGGAGAGCATTCCTGATCAAGAGTCATCAGGCCTAAAACATTAACTCTGCTTTCTCCTCACAGATGCTGCCAGACCTTCTGAGTTTTGCCAGCACTTTGTTTTTATTTCAGATCTCCACCATTCGCAGTCCTTTGTTTTATTTAACTGTGTGTTGAGTCTAGAGAAAATAAAGCATTTTCTTCATAGTTGAGCAAAAAGGTTCAAGTGTTACAAGAGTACTGGTTACAACGACACGTGAAACTGTAGGAGAGAGAATGAGATAATTAAGAAACTAACAATCAGATGGCATCGACCTTGTGTTTAGGTTGTGTGTTGATTATAGGTAGACACCACTGCCTCTTTTAAACATCATATTTACAAGGAGTGTTAGTCTTACTGTGTGTCGCTGCAGTGTGGGGAAACAACAGCAAAACTTATATTTTTGGAAGGATGTTTCCCTGGAATATTCTCTCCTTTCCCTGGCTGTTAATTCTTAGCCGGTCATATTGATACATAAGCCTTCGATATTGCTTGTTACCTCAGCTTTCTGTTGAGATGGGGTGGTGTGTGCTAACCTAATCAGATCCACATTGTGAGTAATCTGCTAAACCAGTATCTCTACCAGTGGAATCATCCAATCCAAGTCAGACCAGAAGTTGAAATTATGATTTCCTGCTCCAACTCTCCCTGTCCTAGCTGCACACTGAATATACTTGTTTGGCTATTTTAAAGTGCAGGGGATGGGATCCTGATTATGTGATTGAGGAACGAAATAACTTTGGGATGTTAGATTAGGAACATTATTTTCAGATAAGCTAATGCATTCCCCTCCTGGATCTCCCCCTCTCTCTGTAGGCGACACTATGTCAGCTGCTTCTCGAAGCCGCCTGTTGCGAATTGTGCCAAAGCTGATCAGTCAGCAGGACTTTTGTTTCCACTTCTACCAACGATCCTGCAGAAATGTGACCTTTGCTCAAAGCCTCAGTCTAACCACTGCAACAAGTCAAGAAAACGTACAGAAACCTTTGGAAGAAAAGCAAAAATCTGTCAAAGGTCCAATTTTGTGCAACACTAGTAAAACCTGGGAAGAAAGGTGACACTTTTTTGTACTTTCACTGTCAGTTTCTCACTGTCAGTTGTGTAGAACTCTGATCAACCAACCGTTGTTGAGATTATTCCAATTAGACAAAATCCCAATGGATCTAACCCCATTTCATTTATTCATTCAGAATTCCAGAGGACCAGATTTTAATATACTTATTCTCCCCATTGTCTTTGAGCCCAAGTTGACCATAAATTTCTGTTATTCATTTGCAATCCTCAGTCATAAACACACTTCACAGCTAAATATCACTGAGATCCCAAGTGGATTTATTTCAGGAAATACCAGTGTAGTTTGAGAGATTTTAAGTATGTTAGCTACATGGTGAGGTTGACATAACTGTCTTTGGAGAACTAAAGGAAAACTGTAAAATAGCAGTATGAAGATCAGACCAAAGACCCAATATATGGACTGTCAGCTTGAGTGTAGAGAAGAGAGTGGGAGTGTGGTGTAAAGACTTACGGCTGAAGACTTGGAGAAAGCAAGTAATTTCAAGTATCTGAGGTTGGCGATGGCAGACAATGCAAGTACGGAAATGCAAACTTTGCAACGGATTAGCTCTGGTTTGAATAATAATGGAAGAAGTACTGTGGAGTGTTACATGATAGATAAGTACCGCAGAAATTGAAAAGGGGAATCTGCAAAACAGTTGTGAGATTGGCCTTATTGTTTAACTTGGGAAGCATCGAGACAAGAGGAATAATAACTGGATGCAAGTGAGATGCAGATACTGGGATAGATGTGTGGAGTAGCAAGAAAGGCCAAGATTAGGAACTAGCGCACCAGGGATCAGTGAAGTTTGTGTGCCTATTGGATAATGTAGCTGAGAAGAAATTGTTTAGTATCTGTTGCGGGAGAGTGAGTGAGTATGGAGTTGGGACTACCAGAGACAGACAGAGAGAATGTGAAGATCTTAAATCATATGGAAAGATGTTGAGATGAGAAATTTAAATGGAAAGGGATTGAAAGAGGAATGGGTGACTGGCAGGAGGAGGTGAAAAAGTATACTCAAACCAACAATGTAGCACCCCAAGAAAAATGGGAGAGTCCAAAATTTAAAAAAATGTAGCAGATTTTGGAGAAATATGAATTGGACCTTTTCATTCCCAAAGTTCTTTACTGCAGGGAGTTTCGTCAGGTCTGAGTCTGTTGCATAATTGATGGGAACTGATCTGTCAGCTGTTCCATTATCAGTAGATTGTGCAACTATCAAATAGGAGAAGATAAACTAGATGGACTTTAGTGTATCTATGGTCATCATTACTAAGTAACAGGATCACAAAGAAAATGGAATGGCACCTGTGAGAAAGTGGGCTTCTGGAGCAATAAATGACATTACAGCCATAATGCAGCAGTGAGTGGTTCAAACACTGTTACAGGATTGTATGAATGAGGCATTTAATTTTCATTGACCTATACTCCCCTCAAGAAACAGTTGTGGTTTCGATTGGGTGCTACTGGATGTTACTCTAACAATAGCTAGTTGCACAATGACAGTGATTCATGCAGATAATTTTGTTTTTCTTGTCTAGAAAAAATTGGTGAAATGGTCAACTCACTGGATGGAAAGCTGATTTTACACCCTACTCAACATTAATCTCCAGTGTGGCCGTGTGGAAAAAGCAATCAAGTTAACATTTCAAATCTGATATGACTCTCTTCTTCAGAACTGAAAGGCGTTAGAAAATGGTGACTTTTATAATTTGCACTGACAGAAGAGAAGCCATGGAAATAAATGGGTGTGGAGGCCCAGTGCAGAAGACAAAAGGGTTGCTAATTGAGGTGAAGGAGAAATAGAGATGGAAATTGAGATGTAAATTAAGATGTGGAGGGGTGAAAACAGGCCCTCTCGACTGAAAGCAAAGTAAACGAGACACAATCAAAACAAGACTGAGGCAAGGGGAGGAATGTAAGAGATATGGAGGAAAGATGTTGAGTAGTCAGTTTCTGAAGTTATGAAATTCAATGTTGAGATGTTGAGGCTGTAAAGTGCCTATACTTGTGGAGCTTGCATTGTGTGTCATTGAAACATTGCAGCAGCCCAGGACAGAAATGTTAACACGAGAGCGAGGTGATGTATTGAAATAATACACATCTGGGTGGTCGGGATCATCCCTAAGGACAGAGCAGAGGTTTTCCACAAAGTGGTTACCTGATGTGCATTTGGTGCTGCCAGTGTAAAGGAGACCGAATTGTGAGCAGCAAATCAAGTAGGTTAGATTGAATGAAGTACAAAGTATAAAACTACATCAGCTGGAAGTCGTAACTGAGGCCTTAGATAGTTAGGAAAGAGGAGAGTCCCCTTCATTGTCAGCATTCCACAGGGACAGTTCCCTCTGTGACATCCTAGCCCAACCATTCATCACTGCTAACCGTTCCTCACTCACATGTGGCACCTTACCATGAAATCACAGAAGGTATACCACTTGCCCATTCACCAGGAGCTTTAACTCTACTTCTCTCTGCACAGATTCTGCCAGATTTGCAGAGTTTCTGTAGCATTTTTCTGTGTTTGTTTCAGATTTCCAGCATCCACTGTAGTTTGCTTTTATTGCTCTCAGTTGCTTCATTCAATTGTGGAGTGCAAGCCAGCTATAAACAAACGATTCAACCCCGTTCCTGACGAGCAATTGAGGATAAAATTGACTCCATTCTATGAAATATTTTTCAGCCTATTGCATTACCTTTGTTCTTTCTCTGTCAGGCTGGCTGATGCTGTGACCCCACTTTGGAGAATGAACTATGAGGAGCAGCTACAGGTTTGTGAAGGGGCTGCAATGTCCATATAATCCTATTGATAAGAAACATTAAAGGCATCCAAGTTCAAATACCAGGCAGAGGATGCCCAGATTCTCCTCCAGAGATGCTGTGGGCTCCAGTAAGTCCAGTCTCTGATGTCCACTCCTTGCAAGAAGACTTCCCCTACAGTGTGGGGAGGAGTTTTTGAGTTTACCATGGTATTTTACAGGAAAAGTTAGAAAGACACAATCCAACTTCACTAGATTATAAAATGTAATACTGCTTTATGTTCAGCCATTGAGTTATTTCAGAGCATAAGGCAATGTCCACACGTTTGGTCACTGCAGAATCTCTTCACCACCTGGCTAACACCTTCCTTTGTCCCTTTTACCATTTACCTTATCCTCGGATCTTATTCTCAATCATTCCACCAATGGGAACAGTTTCTCCCGATCCACTCTGTCCAAACTCTCCATGATTTTGAACATCTCTATCAACTGTCCTCTCACCCTTCTTCTCCTAGAAGAACAGTCTGATCTATCCGTGTAGCTGCAGGCCATCAAACAGGAATAATTCTGGTGAGTCTTCCCCGTACTCTGTCTAATGCTTGGAGTGATTATGATGCCTATTTCTAGAAAGCCTACTGGATTTCTTCCTTCAGTCTGAAAAGCAGCCAGCAGTTAGATTAATATCTGCATTGGTGCAGGTGTTTTGCTGGGGTGAGCCAGATTTTGCCTGTTGTGGTCCATTTCAAATCTGCAGAAAGAAACTGGACAGACTGAGGCTGTTTACTTGTGAAAAGAGAAAGCTGTGGAATCAAGGCCTTGAAAATTATGGTGGGTCCGTTGCAGAGAAGATGGCTCTCTTTGGGGGTGAGACCAAACTAGAGCTGATAAATGTAAGATAGTCACCGTAAAACTAAGAGAATATTAGGAGAAACTTCTTACCCAAAGAGTGTTTAGAATGTAAGACCTTGTGACCGCATTCAAGAGTTCTTGTGAGTAGCAAAAATACATTCAAAGGGAAGGTATGTGATGACCCCATTCTGTGCTGTAAATACTGAGCAAGTTTCTACTAGAAAGGTAGTTACTCAGTGCCCTTGCAGGGTTTTGTTTTGGTCCCTGATGGTGCTAACGATTTTGTTAAAAGCTACTCCTCCTGAAGGCTTTAACTCCTCTAATAACAAGATCATCCAGAACAGTAATTGACTGTCTACTAAAGAACCTAATCTAAAGCTTGGAAACTGACTGAGTTTACCTTGTTCAGGAGGCTGGCTGAAAACAAAAGAAAAATGCTGGAAATCCCAGCAGGTCAGGCAGCATCCAAGGCAAGAAAGCAAGCTAACGTTTTGAGTCCAGATGACTCTTCGTCTGATGGTCTGCTGTGATCTCCAGCATTTTTGTTTTCAGTACAGATACCAGCATCTGCAGTAATTTGTCCCTCCCACAGGACGCCAGCAACTAGCTTTGATTTTGTAACATTTCATGGGAAGTAAAAGCTCTCAACTCAACATCTTGTCATGTGATTTGGCAACATGTTTGTCGTGTTTTATTGTATTTTGGAATGTCTTGAGGGCATGACCATTTTAGCCTGGGTTTTCTCCTCCCTTCTAGGTTAAATATGAAGCTCAGAAGAGGACCCTTCAGTTTTTCACTGCCAGCCTTCCTAGTCACTCTGGGAGAGAGGACCTATGCTGCCCACTGGATCCAACTCTCCCCTCGGTCAGTATTCAATTACTCCACCCTACAGAACCGGAGAGCAGGGGAGAGATTCTCCTTAACAAATAAAGAACTACTTAATATAGTTAAAATGGTTTTATTAATTCTATCTTTTATCTGAGTTCTTGGAGCCCGTAAATGCCTCGCCAGCAGAGTTGCTGCCTTTCCGCACGCTATGCTGTAAACTGGGTAAGAAATTGATGGATTGAATGTCAGTCTCAATATTCTTTCCAACCAATAAACACATGTTTGAAGTGGAGTCTCTGTAGTAGGAGTAATATGAGGCAGCAAAAACTCTCACGTGAGATGTTCATGGGATGTTGGAATTGCTAACTAGGCCAGCGTTCATTGTCCATCTCTAATTGCCCAGAGGGCACTTAAGACTCAACCCCATTGCTGTGGGTCTGGAGTCTCATGGCCAGACCAGGTGAGAATGACAGATTTCATTCCCTGAAAGATGTTAGTGAATGAGATGGGTTTTGACGTTGATCAACAGAGATTACATGGTCACATCAGGCTAACTTTTTTTAAATCCTGGAATACAATGTCACTGTCTTCCATGGTTTTTATATCAAAAAATGTCGCCAGAAAATTAACTGGGGCTCAGGATTACTTGTCCAGTGATTTTGCCAGTATGTAACCACCTCCCCTTAAAGAGATATTTCTGTTGGTCAGGGCTCCAGGAGAATTTTCCAGCCCTCTCTCGACTTTGAATCCAATCTTGATTATGTTTAATATCTCATCCAGGAGATACTGCTGTAGGTGATGCAGAGCTCCTGCTGCACTGCCCTTATTGTCAGCCTAGATCATTTACATACGCGGGTACGGTGGCCCAGTTGTTAGCACTGCTACCTCACAGCGCCAGGGACCCAGGTTCGATTCCAGCCTCGGGTGACTGTCCTGTGGAGTTTGCACATTCTCCACATGTCTGCGTGGGTTTCCTCTGGGTCTTCTGGTTTCCACCCAGAGTCCAAAGATGTGCAGGTTGGGTGGATTGACCATGCTAAATTGGCCATAATGTCCAGTGATCTGCACGCTAGGTGAATTAGCCACGGGAAATGCACGGTTACAGGGTTAGAGTAAGGGCTGGGACATGGTGGATGCTCTTCGGAGGGGTGGTGTGGAATCGATGGGCCAAATGGCTGCTTCCACACTGTAGGGATTCGTCACAAGCCCAGGGTGCATCTCTAGTTCAGTCACAGTGCTATAAATTCCGCTGAGCTGCACATTGGAGAGTTGTGAGCCCTGAATGTACAAGGGATTGCCACCTCTTGTTGCAACAGAAACGGACTGCCCCAGTGCTGAGACCTGACTATATGATCTCAAACTTGCATCTCTGCAAATAAAACAAGGGATAGGCTCTCTAAGTGTCCAAGCAGAGTAATATATTATTAGCATTTTATGAAAATAGCCACACAGTACATTTAGATCTGTAATTTACAAATTAAAAACATAATTCTTGTGCCAATCAGCTGTATTAGTGGAGGATTATTGTAGAAGGCATAAATGCACATGAATGAGCAGTATGTTTAAAATGTATACCAGGAAATATAGCTTTAGTTCAGGAATAGTTCTGGATTTGAAGTGATTTATTTATTAAGATAATTGAGCAGAAATGTTGGAAATATGAATTGATAGGATAATGTTCAATGAATGAAGTAGCTGTTTCCTGGGTTTTATCGTCCTATGTTCTGGTCATTCTGAAAACCTGGCCATATTGAAGTTGGTGACTGCAGGAGGTTGAAACCTCATGGACACCTTATTTCTGTACTCTGTGCCATTCTTCTTTGCAGCCAGTTACTGTCGGATATCGCAACAAGTCTACTTTCTCTGTGAACAGAGGGCCTGATGGCAATCCTAAAACAGTTGGACATTACATTGGAACTGGCAAAGGTAAGCAACACCTATATTTGACAGTTTTACCTAATTGACTGTGACGTATTCCTGCTTGGTTCACTTGTAGGTTCTAGTAGAGAGGTACCTTGATAGTTCAGTGCCTAATGCTACTGGCTGGTATGAGTCACTTTGGCCAAGAAAATGCAGGTTTAAGTTTTGGCCTGTGTTTATTTCAGCGAGGATAGTAGTAGTGGCTACAGCCCCTCATGTCTGTACTAGCTAAAAGTATTGAATGAATCCTACTTCCCTGCTTTTCCCACAGTCCTGTAAATACTTTCACTTCAGATATTTACCCAGTTTTCTTTTCCAAGTCACTGTTCAATCTGCAAATCTCTCCTCAATCTCTTTGCTCCAAGGACAATGACACCAGCTCCTCCAACCTAACCTAACCTTTTAGCTTGAACCATTCTGTTAAATCTCCTTTGCACCCTGTCAAGAACCTTCACATCCTTCCTAAAATGTGGAAAGCAAAACAGGCTATGATACTGTAACTGTGGCCTGGGCAAAGCTTTATAAAGGGTTGCTCTTGTTCTGTTCCTTGCAGGGAGAAATATTGTTTGTACTCATTCAGATCACTTGGTGAATATGCCCAAGAAACACAAGCAAGTGGCCAGAGTAAGTCAACTTCACATGATGAATTTGGGCAATTTTGTCAGGAAATTGCAACAGGAGTGAGATGTATTTCTCAATTTAGATCTGGTCACTTATTGTCAGCCAAGGGGAAATAGTGGTGTGTTGGTAATATCTCTGCACTAATAATCCAGAGGCCCAGTCTAATTCGGGGACAAGGGCTCAAATCCCATTGCAGCTACAGTAGGCACTTTAAATTCAATTCATTAATGAGAATATCGAGTTGAAAAGCTAGTCTCACTAATGGTGATCGTGAAACTATTATTGATGATAAAACCCCAGGTGGCTCAGTAATGCCCTTGATGGAAATTGACCCATCTGTGACTCAGACCAGAGCAGCCTGTTTAACAGTGCTCTGAAATGGCCAAGTAAGCCCCTTATTTCTACCTGTTTGCTACAGAAAAGTCATTTTGCATGACCACCTTCTCTAGGGCAAGTCGGGATAGGGCTGGCGTAGCCCACATCCCATGAAAGAATTGTTTTAAACAGCGGAAAAAATTAAAAGGATTTCCTGTTTAATCCCTGCTCTGCAATCACTTAACTGGCTATAGCCAATGTAGTGGTGTGATTTGCCTTGGCACCCCATGCCCAGGTAGAAGTAAAGTGGAAAGGGTTTCGTTTTCGTGTTAGGCGAAGAAGGTACAGATGTCAGGGACAGGAATTGATGGACTTGAAAGCCTCAGTGAGGTTTACAGATGACATTTACACGTAAGTGATCAGCATTTGGCCCTGGGAGACCCATGTGTCTGTGGAACTGTAATTCAACAAGGACGCCACTGCTTAAGGAAGACAGGGAGAAAACCTTGTGAGAGTAGCTTTTCCTGGTTTAATTGGCTTGAATTTTATTGTTCCCCTCCCCCCGCTGCAACAGAATTATGAGCAGTTCATCCGGCTTTCTCCACTGGAGCCTTGCATCTTGTTCCATGAAGGAGGACACTGGCGGGAAATCACTGTTCGCACCAATAGGAGAGGAGATGCAATGGCTATTGTCTACTTCCATCCTCAGGATCTACAGAAGGTACTGCTCAGCTAGGGTTGTTCACTGTCAGAGAACAACTCCAGAACTATGGGTGTCAACTGATCATCATGCACATTAGATATTTGCAGCCTTCCTTGCACAACAGAATGTAGTTTCCCAGGTGCATTTCCCAGTGTGCTGCACCCAGCAGGTGTCCGTAGGAGATATCCTCTATACCCTGTAGCTACGGGATCCATCTTGCCATATTCTGTCCTGAAGGAGAGTCTTAGAAAAGTACAACCAGAGTTTGCATTTGTACAGCACCTTTTCCACTTTAGGAGATTCTAAATTGCTTTGCAGTCAGCGAAGTACTTTTTGAAGATTAACCATTTGAATTTGCATGAAACAGGACAACCATTTTGGGCATAGCAGTGTCCATAAATGGCAATGTGTTTGTGATTTCTAGTGCTGTTGGTTAAAGGATAATTGCCGGGCAGGAAAGGTAGAAATTTACTCTGCTTTTCTCTGACTATTGCCATGGGAATTTTTATTTTGTTTGCACCCACCTGAGAGGATGATAGGGCTTAGGTTTAACAGCTCATGAAGTCTATCTGAAAAGCTGCACTTCAGACTGTGCAGTGCTCCCTTAGTGCCACATTTGAGTGGCAGCCTGAATTTTGTGCTCGGGTCTCCTGTGTGACCTTTTGAGTAAGCAGTGCAAGTAACACTACTGACAAATCTACTTCTCTGACTGACTGACCTTTTGTATTTAATTGCTTGTGTATTTCAAGTTGGGCACGGGCTGTTTCTGTCACGTCTCTCTCAAGGGTCAGTTTGGCTTTTCTCTGAATTAGCTTCTGCACAGCTCATACAATGGATGAAACAGGAAGTGGCGTTGACTTTTCAAAACCCATTCTCAACTTGGATAAAACTGCTGCAAAAGTTCTAACCCCTAAGAAATTAGCTTCAGTCTTTTTGGATACTCCGCTATCTGGGATGTGCTTGGTCCAAACATTTCATCATGTAGTTTCAAAGGGAAGTCATGATTTTCTTTCTTTTATGGTTGGGAATTCTTACCGTGACTGACTGACTGAGAATTAAAATGAGATGAGATACTGTCCTCTTCAGCGAATTTGTTGGAAAGGTTTGGCAGAATTCAGTAAAGACTTGCAGCGATTTGATGAGTTTGATAACTGGTTGTACTATGAGTGAAGGCTTGTCAGTATAAAAGATGAAATGTATGGTAATGTACGGGTATTCTTGTAGAATTTTATTTGTTCAATTTTTACAGGAGGAAATTGCCAAACATCAGACATCGCTGGTGGAATATTTTACCATTGGACCGGGATCTGCGTGTGAACTGACCTCTCTCTACTTTCAGGAAAGGTACTTGTTCTTCTCTGTTAACCTTGCAGATGGGGATGAGCGATATGCAGTCTTATGATTACAATTCCAAACCATCAGTATATAGCTCTCCTCAGTTTATCGTTTCGGTCAGATGTCTGGCTGCAAGAGTGTCCCAACTGAAATCAGTCCAGTTCTGTGTATGTGCTAATCTGTGACATGGAGCCACACAATTACTCAGCACAAATTTAGCCCTGGGTTGGCAAGTCTTGCTAGAATTAGTCACCTGGACAGCAGGAATGGAAGATTGTGATGTCCCTCCATCTAGCATCTCTACAAAATCATCCTGCAAATATCTATTCCACAAATTAAACTGAACTTTACAAGGATGAGAGCAGATACAACTAGTCATAACGCCAAAAGGGATTTGTAATCATCTCCTGGTGACATGGGAGTTAGGATAGTCACTAGGCTGAACTGTAGATGCAGCTTGTCAAGTTGGATTAATACTCTGAAATTTTGCTCACTCGCTACTGGCAAGTTGGGAATTAACATCACTGAGTTTTATCTTCAGAAAGGTTCATCGATGTTAGCTGCCAAATCAGGGGAACTAAGGCGTAGCCAAGGGTGAGGTACTTTTGAAGTGCATTCACTGTTGTAATGTGAAAATGCAGAATGTGTGAAGGTTGCAGGCAACTTCATGTTGCTATTTCTTAGCTCAGTGGCTGGGCAGCCAACCCTTAAATTTTCCTATCTCTGTGTTATATAATCTAGCTCGAAAAACATGTCATTGTACACCCTCTGTTACCTTTGCCCTCATTTTCTGTGAGTTACTGCTATCACAGTGTATCAGAGACTGTCAGTCTTCTGGTACTGGGGCACAGTGAGTGATGGAAAACACAAAGCAAAGCTCAGATTGCCGTGTGAATAGCCACGGCCCCTTGCTTGTACAGAAAAGGCAACCATACAGTTGTCAAACACAAAGCTGCATACACGAGTGAGGCAGAATTACACAGGAATCTGAAAATTGTTTTCACTGACAAGTATCAATGCCAAGCCAATGTAATGGCAGCTAATTTGCATGTAATAATGCCCTTCAAACAACAAAGATAGTTTGCATTTAGTGATGTTAGATAAGACTTAGATGTTATCTTAGACACCACAAAAATTCCTTACTTTCTAAATAGTACCATGGGATATTTAGAAACATCAAATGTACCAGACAAGGCCCCTATTTAAATGACTCATTCAAAATGTGGGCAACTGTCTGTAAAACGTGGGGGTATAGTGGGCTCCACATCTTTCCAAACTCTTTCCTCTTCCACTAATGAGGCAATTTCTGATTTTAATTGTGTGTTTTCACTGACAGTATGATGACCCGCTGTCTCCATGAGCAGTCACCATACCAACTTCTGTATGGCGTTCCCTATATCTATGAGGAGATATTGGGTCTGACCTTCCGAATCTCTCCAGATGCCTTCTTCCAGGTGAATTCTGAGGGAGCAGAGGTCCTTTATGAAACAGTTCGTGACCTGATCAGGGTGGACAGTGACTATATCGTGCTCGATGTCTGCTGTGGTACAGGTATATGGGATTATGATGTGCATTGAGATTGTTGGACAATAGTGGAAAAATACTTTACTTTTCCCTGTTTGTTTCCTCCTTCATCTCTCAAGGTGCCCTCGGGGTTCTGCTATAACGCATGTTCCGGCAACACGAATCGGCTGTAACGCAAATGAAGAATAGGGAAATGCTATTTCTGAAACGCAAACTTGTGTTGGCTATAATATAATTCCATCAGTGACCTTATTGTTGACCAATTAGAAGATGTTTTTACAAAGTATTGCAGGAAAAAAAAAATGGATTTCAAGATTCTCCTTGTCCTGGATAATGCGTCAAGCCATCCTCCCACCGTTGGTGAGCTTTCTGAAAAAATCAAAGTGCTATTTCTACCCCTAAACGTAACCTGTCTCCTTCCACCCATGGCTCAGGGTACAATAGCAGCTTTTAAAACTTATTATTTAAGGCGCACATTTAAGAGGCTAATTGCAGCCACTGAGGGGAATAAGGACATTGTTCTTCAATTTTGAAAGAGCTTTAACGTGAAGAATGCAATTGAAGTTATTGTGGAGGCCTGGGGTGATGTCAGTAAGGACTGCGTGCATACAGTTTGGCGGAAGCTTCTCCCAGATTTGTTTTCAAGATTTTAAAACCTTTGATCCATCAGAGGAGCTCCCAAGAATCAATGAACATTGTGTTCATCTTGCAAAGCAAGTCAATTTGAAGAAATGAAGCGTGAGGACATTGAAGAGCTACTTGAGTCTCACTGTGAAGACCTCTCTACAGCTGATCTACAACAACTTGTCACTGAGGGGGAAGTGGAAGTTAGAGATGAAGATGAAGAAGTCCAGGATGCAGCACCACGAGAGCCTTCCGCTTCTGTTTTGTCTTCTATCCTGAGAGAAATTGAGAAGCAGTTACAGCTCTTAGAGTACAATGATTATAATGCAAAACGCAGCAGGGTAGCAGTTCGTGGAATAAGATTTTATTTGGCATCCTACGAACAGCTTCTTCATGAAAGAAGAAAAATGGCAAAGCAGCAAAAACTGAATGTCTTTTGTTTAAGCCAACCTCCAAGAAACAGCCAGAGACAATGAACTACAGCCATCCACTTCTGGATTAACTATTTTTCACCCTAACTGTACAACCACAACTGCACCTTAGGGTGATGATGATGACCCGGGCCCCTGCATTTACAACAGAGCAACCTCAAAACCTCCTCCCCCATCAAGTCATCTTGACATTTTGTTAAGAGAAGGTGTTAAAACTAAATTTATTTCATTATTAGATATGAATTAAAGATTTATTCAAACTGTGCTGTCCTTTTGTGTTAGGCTTTTGAGTGATTTTATTTTTGGCGGTCTGCCCCAACCCTGCTTTTCTCATAGGCCCCATTGTTTCTATAGCAAGATTTTCTATAACACAATGTTGCATAGGAACGCAACTGTCGCGTTATAACAGAACCCTCTGTATTTGGTTAGGAAAAGAATGATGAGTAATAATTTTGCTCCTGTCTGAGATATATTCATCGTCTTATGTTGGTCTGCATCATTACAGTTCCTGACTGAGAGGCAGCCTCATCCCAAATCTTCTGATGTTACTGCCATGTTGTAATTCAACTGGGAGCATTCAGGCTGACTTGCCTCCAAGTTCCCACCATGGGTGGAGGGGGAGGTGTTCGGTTGAATGTTTCTTTGTGCTGCCCAGCCCAGGGGTGAGAATATTTGCAGTAAAGGAGCTTGAGTGAAATTTCCAAGATGTCATAGAATAGCCTGTGATGTTGGAATTCTGGCCATTTTCAGTGATAAATATTGTGTAGGTCAGAAGTCCCACAACACCAGGTTATAGTCCAACAGGTTTTTTGAAATCACAAGCTTTCAGAGTATTTTTCCTTCATCGATTGAAGTGAAATTCACTTGACAAAGGAGCAATGCTCCGAAAGCTTGTGATTTCAAATAAACCTGTTGGAATGTAACCTGATGTTGTCTGACTTCTGACCTTGTCCATCCCAGTCCAACACCAGCACCTCCACATCAAATATATTTAGTCAGTTTGGATTATATTGCGCTTCAAGATTTTGAACCTTGTATCCACTGAAAGGGTTTTTAAAAATTTATTTGTTTTTAAAATAATTTTAAAGCATTGGCTCTAAAGTTAGGAATTCTCCCAGTCACAGCAAATAATGGACGTACTAATTTAAAAAAAAAAAAAAAATCAATGGTTCACCTTGCTGTAGTTGCTTCACCTAACTTAGATACTGAGCATGAGGCACCGACGAAGTGTAAAGCTTTAATGTCATCTTCCCCATTGCATTGCTTCCAGCGTTTTCTGTTTGTGTGTCAAAATAATGCAGATGCTGGAAATCTGTTTGTTTGCATTTGTATGGGAGTGGTAACAGCCATTGATGCTGGATTAATTACCCAGCAGTGTTTCCTGAGTTTTTGTCCACGGAGACCCCATTTTGAAGTTTGAAGATTGTTACGGCCTTTGGTACGAAATGAGAGTGTGTTGAGGGAGGAGGAGAGTGCCTGTATGGGGTATGGTGGGGCTAGAACTCTGCAGTGACCATTGCTGCCTCCAAGATTGTGACCCCACAATTTAAGCTCATGACCCAATTTGGGGGAAACTCTGACCTAGCATAAAGATCCAAAAAAATCTTGATTTATTTACAGGTTGTGGTTTGAATGGAGCCATTTCTTAGCCCTGTTGTGTCTAACTGGAAGAGTGTTAAAACAGAGCTCCAAGGTCTTGTGCAATTTAAGATTTATGGAAAATGATGGGGAAGAGGCAAGTCAACTTTGTACATGGCCCCAGAGCTGCATTATGAACAGAAAGTCAAGGATACCCATTTCAAAACAGATGGAACTAGAATAATGGTCCACATCTGATTGGCAAATACTCTACCCTGAGTCCTCTACACAAACTGCTTTCTTTCTGATGTGATTTGGTGCTGGCATCTGAGAAAAAGCACCATGTTAATCTCACATTGAGCACTGTGCTGGAGGAGGAGTGGATATGAAAGACTGTGCATTGATGCAAAGATAATTACTGAATGCCTGCTTTTACTTTCTAGGAGTTATTGGTTTGACCTTGTGCCAAGGAGCAGCGAGAGTGATAGGAATCGAGCTTATTGAACAGGCTGTAGAGGATGCCCAGTGCAATGCTGTTCTTAACGGTATGTTTATGATGGGGCAGTGTCACCAATTGTTACGTGCAGGTTTTGTTTACTTTTATGTCCAAGAATTTGAATGAGAATAGACTGAGATAGGTTCCTTAAGTTGACAGATCTTCAGTACTTCACCCGACTCAATGCATTAGGACAAGACGATGGATATTTACTGGCTGATCATTTATGAAGGAGGTGAAAGTCAGAACTAGTCCTTACTATCCCCTAAACTGTACATGGCCTACCCTGGATAGTCATCAAACGTGTGGTCTCTCATGGATTTCTGTCTTCTACCACCCCCTCCGACTCCCACACACGGACTAAGAGCACTGAGTTTCCATTTTACCCAGTAATCTGCCATTCTCCTAGGAATTTCCATCATTTCTCTTGCTTTAAGAGCTTATCATGCTCTTATACCACGGACCACAGTGTGCTATTTCCTCACCTATAGCCAACACTCTCCGATTCCCTCCTTTCAAGTTTGCTTTTCCACTATTTTAAATCTAACCTCAACAAGGCTTCAGCAGAGAAGCAGGAATGAGGCAGCTTGCCTCTGAAGGCAGAAAGTCGGAAGGAGTGTGTTGCTGGTTGTTGTTTGCTGATGCCAGCAGATCACCGAAGAGGAATTAAGGTGGGTTTGGTAGTCCGTACAAATATGTCCAATGAATGACCACTCAGTCTGTCCAGTGAATGTGAGTTGGAAAGATGTAGTCCATCTGTCCTATCACGGTTAGCAATGCATTATCATAACTGGAGTCAGATGTCAGCCTGAGCTTTACCCAATACAGCCGTGACACACTCCTCCTTCTCTCTTGCAGGTATTGATAACTGTGAGTTCCTCAAGGGCAAAGCAGAGATTGTTTTACCGCAGCTGCTGCCCTCACTGGAGGATGTCAAGTTCCTCATTGCTGTTGTGAACCCATCCCGGGCTGGACTGCGTAAGAAACATAACCTTTTTTATTTGAAATATCTGACTCATTTATCTGGTGCCTGTCTCACTTGTGAAGCAAGATAAAATTCTAGATTGTTATGCACGTATCCATCCTTATTCTTTGACAGCCGTGCAATGTTATTGCACGGTGTATCAGTGATCTTGGACAATTGACGCTCCTTGGCTCAGTATCTCAGAACATAGGACTTTGGCAGAAGTAGGCAATTCATGCCCGTCGAGTCTGCTCCACCATTCGGTGAAATCATGCCAGATCTGATCAAGCTCAACTTCACTTCTCCGTCTTTTTCCCATGACCCTGATTCCCTTACTGATTAAAAATCTGCCTATTTCAGCCTTGACTTTATTCAATTTCACAGTCTTGACTGCCTCCTGTCATAAAGAATTCCACAGATCCACTCCCCTCTGAGAGACGAAATTCCTCCTCAACTCCATGTTAGGTGGGGTCTCCTTATTCTGAGATGATGCCCTCTGGTCCTAGATTGCTTCCCCTGGCAGGACAACCGTTTCACATTTCTCCTGGCAGACCTCCTAAGAATCTTGATTTTTCAATAGGATTGTCTCTCATTCTTCCAAACTTCAATCAGTACAGTACCTGTCTACTTAACGTCTCTTCACAAGATGTTTCTTCCATACTCAGGATTAATCTAGCGAACCTTCTCTGGATTGTCTCTGGGGCCAGTATATCTTTCCTTGGGTAAGGGGTTTAGAACTGTTTACAGTAATGCAGCTGGTGGTCTGACTAGTGCTGCCTCATATTGTTTTAGCAGGACTTTTCTATTTTTATACTCCATTCACTTTGAAGTAAAGGCTAATATTCCTTTTGCCTTCCCTGTTTCCCACTGAATTTGGATTATAGCTTTCAGTAGTTTGTGGATGAGAACTCCCAAATCTCTCTGTTCCATAGCTTTCTGCAGTTGTCCTCCATTTAACTATATTAAGCTTCTCTATTCTCCCCACAAGGTGCGTAATCTCTCATTTTCCTACATTACATTCTATCTGCCAAGTCTTTTTCCTACTTACTTAATCTGTTTATATCTCTCTCAGACTCTTTCTGACATCCTCACCATTTACTTTCCCACCAATTCTTGCATCATACACAGAATTGGCTACAGTACATTCACTTTCCTTATCCTAGTCATTATTGTATATTGTAAATAACTATTGCCCTAGCACTAGTTATAGATTGCCATCCTGGAACTGCCCCTGTTATCCCAACTCTTTGTCTTCTATTAGTTATCCAGTTCTCTATCTACGCTAATATGCTACCTTC